CCCAATCCCCACGTCCCCAGGAGGCTCTGTGGGCCAGTGAAGGTGCACATGACACCTCTTTCTTCCCCTACCTACAAGCCTTGTGCCATTAGGGTTCCCCTCAGGTCAGTCTGCTCTGTGGAACGAGGGCCCAGAGGGACCTGGTGTCCAGGTCCCTCTGTTGACCAGTGGGGTGGGACTCCAGAGACCACAGTGGAATCTCCACCCTGCATGGAGTCCTGACTCACCACAGCTGTGTGTGATTGTGGGGGGCCGTGACTACTTTCCAGGGCATGCTGGCACCTGACTCATGGTCTTGGGGGCAATGGCTGGTTGCCGTTGGTAGGGGTGTCTGGACCCGTGCGTGTGTGGGTTCCTGTGCCGTTTGCGGAGATTTTGATTCCTCTGTGTGCACGTGCGCGTGAATGGCAGGGTTCCCATTCTTGCGTAGAGGTGCTTAACCCATGACTTCTATTCGTGGAGGTTTCTGACTCCTGCGTGTGTGGGGTCTTTGACCCTTCAATAGTGTGAGGAGTTGCTAACTCTGTCCTGACCCAGTTTGCTGACCTATATGACCATTATTCTCTAGGATCCGTGGGCCTGGAGGTGCTGTCGTAGCTTTGGAAGATAAAGGATCCAAGGGTGGGGTCACACTGGACCATGTGAAGGTCAGTGTTGATGGAGAACTGGGCTGAGCCCCACAGGCAGGGGCCATCTCCTTCCAGTGGGTGGGGCCTGAGGAAACAAGATCTGGGGTCTGTGGGGGTGGTGATCTGGGAGACAATTTGGAGGTATACAAAGGAAGGTGGCCCCTCCCTCCCTCCCATACATAACCAGAGAAAAGTTCAGCTCCTCCCTCTTCCAACACAGACAGGGCACAACTACCACCCCTGCCCCAACCTGGCCTGGCCACAAAGCTTATACAGGCAGGTACCACCTGACCTAGGCCATACTCAGACAGTCACCCAGGGAATGAGGGCGGAAGATCTCTTAGCACATGGTCACACACCCACACTGGTGACCTCCACCACCCGCTCAGATGTGGGCTGGCCACAGTAACAGGCTTACAAGGAACTTGGCACACAGCAGGACTGGACATCACAGTAGCCATGGACATGGACACATACACAGAGGGATGGTCACATGCATGCTGCCTGGTGTCCAGTTGCTGTGGCCCAAGAACCCACAGAAACCACAGAGGTGCAACATGCTGACTGTCTTGGGGCTATGAATGCACTGGATTGTCTAGTGGCCACAGGACACAGACCCATGCCAGTTTCACACAACACTGTCCTCACCACACTTTGGGGTGTGGGAGTCATAGCACCAAGTGCCTGTGGACAGTGGGCAGGGGACTGAGCTGAGGGAAAACCAACTGGGCCCTTTCTGAACTCCATCCCAGCCAGGGTCCAAGAATGGGAGCGCAAGGATTAGGCCAGGAGTGGCCTGTGCAGACCGTGTTCTCCCATGGCCCCAACCTCAGTATCTCCTCCTCGTAAGAAACTCCCCAGTATCAGGACCTAACGGGGGCGAGAGCAGCAAGGCAGAGTCCTAGGGCTCACCCTCCACTCCTACCACCAGCCCCACTGCAAGGCAGGCAGGTGCAAAACCGGGTGCCCATTCTGTGGGCTCTGGGAAAGGGTAGGAGGGGTGGTGCCCAGGTATGGCCACCTGCAGGGAAGAGGGAGCTCTGGGCTCACTGGGCTGATCCCACGGCCTCCTGCCAGCAACAATCTCCAGCATTTCCCAGAGTTAATGCTTTACTTGGGGATTCTCCCAATTAATACTCCCAGGAGGGGGAGCTACAAAGATGCCCATTTGCAGATTAGGTAATGGGGACTGGGGATCAGGAGTGACATGACAACAACAGCAAGAGGGACAGAAATTCAAGGGGCAAGATACCTTGGATCCCAGTGCCCTTGACTTGAGGGGTTGGGGGGCGGAGGGTATAGGAGGGAGTCTCTTCCATCTGCCGAGGGCCTGGGACACCCCCTAGACCATAAGCCCTCCTACTCACGCCCCTGCTGACCAGCTGCAGTGTGAGATGGAGCCATTTCCAGCTGTCCCCTTCGGAGGACCGCTCCATCAACAGGTCTCCGTGAAGTGCAGCCTGCCCCCTTCACCCAGCCCAAGTGGGAACTCAGCTTCCTCAGCAGCCCTAGAAGAGACCCCAGGCGGGAGCTGAGCCTCAGTTCATTCTGCTGGAAAGTGTGGCCGATTTCTCTGCTTCTTAGTGTGACCAGGAGAGAAGGGGACACTGTCTGAAAGAGCAGATGTGAGCACCAGCAGGCTGAGTGCATAGAGGTGGGGTGGGTGTGGGGGGGTGAGA